GAGAGAGAGAGAGAGAGAGAGAGTCTCGAAGAGGGTTAAAACAAAGACAAAAACTTGGAAAAACTTATCGTTTATCGATCGAGTTTGCCGGTAACCGTTCATTAACCGTACAAGTTTCTTGTTTTCACGACGAGTAGAAAAGAATACGAAAGTTTTTTGGCAAAACAGACGGGAGGGAGTTGTTCACGTTGTTCCAAAGCGTTTCGACGGAGGCCTCGTAATTTCCATAACCACGTTACCAGAGGGAGGGCATCCCTGACGAAAATAAAGCGAGGACAGGCGGAAACCCTCGTCTGGGAACCCAAACATCCGGGAGACGTTCGAGTTTAGGCAAGAATATTCGAGTTTTCGAAAATTCGAAGGGGAAATATTTGTGGACAATTTGAATTTAATACCTGCCGAAAACTTTTAACGCTCCCTCCTTTGATTCACGTTGGTGAACACAAATAGATATCCACAAATTTGCGGATATGTTTTAAATAGAGATGATGAATCGTAATTAATAAAGTGACGATAATATAATTTATAAATCTTCTAGATCTTATATCTATATAACGACATTATGAAATTATCATCGATACCAACTGTAGAGTTGAAGGATAATAAGGGTGCTTCTGCGTTCTCTTAAAAACTGTATATTCGATGTATCGCCAAGCTCGCTTTTCTCGCTTCCCTCGGGAAAATCCATTTACTCTTCATTACGAAATAATGAGGGGCGGATTAATAAGCAGCCTGAGGAGCTGGCTTAAGGAGGAGCGGAGGGGAGGATGGTATCGAGGAGAGGAAATTTCAAATTTCGTGACAGAAGAAACGTTTTCGCATCGTTCCGCTTATGAATTTATGAATATACCGCCCGTTTCGCGGCGAACTTTGTTGCCCCCTGTCCTTCCACCGTTTCTCCGCTTTAAATTGCAAATAGGAATGGTTATGGGCGAGGAGTTTAAGTACACAAGATCGAGTGCGTTTGTGTAACTTTTGGAAACGATTTTTCGAAGACGCAATTCGTATTCTATTTCTATAATTCTCTCGTCGTTTTAATCCAGAAAAACAGTCAACCATGTTTCAATCATTCGATTCATCTTAAAAACATTCTCTTTCAAATTTCAAATCGATATACCAATAATGATTACTGTACTACGGCAGAGAGACACGCTCTTAATCTCATCCACTCAAATTTCTCTAAATCGCCGTTAAAGCGCCCCTCAAAAATATCCGCACGATTCGAGGGAATAAAGGAGGGGGACGAGCGTCATCGAAACAGACTTAACAACGTTGATCCAACATAAAAAAACTCACTGGAGGCTTAATAAGAAGCCCTTTCCCCCCAGAAGAATCCCCCTAGAAAGAAAGATAAGGGATGTTGTAAGCGAGCGCAAGGGTGCGTGATGTCGTCATGAGTCGAGAAGATTGCCGTGCATAAATTTCGCTCGAAATCGAAATCGTTGATTCGCCAACGATTTAACGCGTTTTAATGGAAATTTAATGCCCCCCCCCCCTCCCCTTCTCGCGGTAATAATAAATAACAGTGTGCGAGATAAGGGGGCCGATAACACACCGATGTGGCAATGTGACGATTTCGAGGAGTTTTCTTTTTTTCAGGTTAAAGGACGAAGGGACGAATGGAAAAATGGCGGCTTCGAGGGGAGAGAATCTCTCTCGAATAAGAGAGAACGCCAACCGCCCCTCCTTTTTCTTGCACAAACGAAGATAACTCGAATAAATGTAAAAGGGGAGGGAGAATGGGTGACTTTTCTCTCTAAGTGAAAATCGATGGAGTTTTATTGTGTGTCGAGGCGAATCGTGAAAACTTCAACCTTCCCTCGCTCTGTCTTCCCTCCTTCGCAACTTTTCCCCTCGTTATTCGGTTGGGGACACGATTTTGTCGCGAACGAACGATCGAAACTCGATAATAGTTGAGCGCTGAATAATTTGTTGGGCGTCGCTTATATGTACAAGTTAAGGTAGTTGGGTAAGGTGAAACGTTCGACCAGTTTATCGTGTTAAAAAAGTGTGCTTAAGAAAAAGAAGAATGAAAGGAAATAAAATTTCGTATAATTTATTAAATTAAATGGAGGCAAGTGTAATCATTGTTTCGAAAACTGTTCTGTACCAAAAAGAAATATTTATTTTCCAATTCAAACCGACAAATTTATCTTCGAGACCTTCTATCTGATCTAATCTAATCTAATCACTCTGCTTCTTTCTCATTCACGTATCTAGTCGAGATGATTCCTCGAAAAAAGGAAAGTACTCGGGTCGCAGCGAAGAAACCGTTTCCATAATTGTTTCAAAAGGCGAGAAAGAAAGAGGAAGGGAAGTACGTTTCCCAAAGTGTTCAACTGCTGCTTTAATCTCGCAACTTCTTTCCAATTTCTTAGCCGGTCGTGGGTGGATTTTGACGGTCGAACAAGGGCAATATTCATGGGGCGGCGTGAATTTTACATTTCAATCGAAGCGAGCCGCCCCTGTTCCGCAACCCATTTCCGTATTTCACCGAGCTAACAGACGTTGTAACGTTTTGACGTGGAGGAGGGAAACAAGCGCGAGGCAACAAACTCGCGAGAAACAACGCGGGGGAATAATATCGAGTGGCCAATTGTAAAAACGCGCGCGGGTGTGCGTGTGTCGCGACGGTTCCCAATTAAAAAGGGGCGTTGATCGTGAATCAACGCCCCGCCAATTCGAAACAGATTTTTTTCCCGCGAAAAGGAGAGAGTTTGTATAAATTATGCAGATTTAATAAAAGCTGCGAATTAATTAACGAGATGAAACACGAGATGTGTTATTGCGCTGCGCAAAATGGAGAGAGTTTGTTGTGCGGGAGACGTTCGATTTTTGGAAAGAATGAAATCATTGATAAAAATTTGGTTCGAATTTCCACGGATTTTTAAGATGATTAAATCTGCCGAGTCGAGATTTTCAGGATGGATTTGGATGGATTCGATTGGACGGATATTTCGAATTTTATATTATGCTACGAAATTCCGTTAGAGAAATTTGCTAGAAAACTTTGCAAACTCGATTTTATGATAATAGATTTAGAAATCGATCGAGGGAGTGTAAAAAGTAGAAGCAAAGTTTGAACGAGTAAATTCGTATTTAGGCGAAATTGTGGGAGGGAAATAAATTAAGAAATTCACGAGAAATTCGATATAATTATACGTCGAACGAATTGTATCGTGAAATTGATGGGATGATTCGAAACTTGCAGATGTCCAAAGGAATGTTTGTAAAAAAAAAAGAAAAAAAAAAAGAGAGAGAGAGAGAGAAAGAAAGAAAGAAAAGAAGGAAGGA